GAGGGGTAGGTCCCTGCCCCCTGCCCCAATCTGCTGGCGGGGCAGTTAGCAGCTGGGGGCTCACTACTAGCTGCCCCATTGGCAGATTGGGTAAGGGGGCTGGGACCTGCCCCTCCCCCACAGCTCTTTCCAAGCCCCTTGCCCCTGATCGGGGAGGACTGGGAGCTCCCTGCTGCCGGGGCAGGGGGACATTGTCCCAGCCCAGGCTCTGCCTCCAGAGCCCACCCTGGCGCCACACAGCTCCTAGGGGCAGGGAGCAATCTCCCAGACTTCACCAGGAAACAGGTGTCTCCTGGCCCTGTGCTCCCTGCCAGCCCCTAAGTTAGCACCCAGGGGAGCCTGGAACATCCCCTGGCGGCTGCAAGGGGGCAGAGTCTGGTGGGGCTGCTCCCACTGGGAGCAAATCTGCTCCCAAATGTCCACTCATGTAGACACCTGCTGGGGGTGGGTTTACTCTGGAATAAATTACTCTGGAGTAAACCAATCCAGCAGCATTTGCATGTGTAGATGCACCCACTATACAATAATTTGCTCTGCTCCTGCATTGATTTGCTACCTACAAATGCAAGTAGCAAATTAATTCTGGAGTAGTTACTGAGCACTAATGCACATGTAGACGCTGACGTCGTCCCCACCACCAGTGGGCCACCTGCAGGCTAGTGCCAGGGCCACAGGGCTGGGAGTTTCTCAAGCCCCAGGGCTGGGAAGGCTCTTTGCATGCCCCAGCCCCTGGCCCCTAAGAGCCTGTGGGTACCTCATGGCCCTGGGCCACCTGCAGCCAGCCTTTGGCCGCTGTGTTTTGCAGTAGAGGCCATAGGCCAGTCACACCAGCCTGCTCCAACCCTGCTGCTGGTCACTGGCACTAGGTCGCCTGTCCTGCGCTGTTGCGCTGTGCTCTCTGCTGCAGGCACCTGCCAGGTCTGGCAGTACCCTTGGCCACCTGCAGCCAGCCTCAGGCCACTTCGTTCCAATCCAGTGGATCCCTGGTACACCATCACCATGCAGATGCCTGTCCCACACCGTGCCCCTCCACTGGGCACTGCAGGCACCTGCTGAGTCCTAGCAGCACCTGGACTGTTGTTCAGAGGCCCAGTGAGCCATCAAAGGAACCACATTGGTGTCTTCTCTGCTGCCTTGTGCCACATCCCAGCTGGAACTGGTCCCAGGAAGAGACTCATGTGCTACCTCCCAGCTGGAACTGGTCCCAGGAAGAGACTGCAGACTTTGTGGTGTTTTGGGCAAGGCCGAGGTCCTCAGGCGGTTTGCCCAAAGCAGGCGCTGCAATGTGCACATGTATGAGGGCCTGTCAAGCCACATGAAGGAACATGGTCATAATCAGTTGGCATGCCAGTGCTCCGTAAAGGTCAAGGCCTTGTGGGCACAGTGGGTCACTGTCTCTGACCACAACTGCTAGTTGGAGGCTACCTGCAAGTCTATGCCCTTTATGTAGCAGTTGGATCAGATCCTTGTGCCCTGGGACCTAGCCAGAGCCATGCTGTGTACTCCAGGATGTGTGGCCTGTCCAAGCTTCCACTGCAGCCTGGCAATGGCAATGAGTCATCAGTGGGGGAGGGCCCTGCAGTCTCCATCCCCAGTGTCATCCAGCAGCCCAGGCCAGCACCTGCCCTGCCACCTCCGGGTGCATAGCCACACCCAGGAGGCCAGGCCAGCCATGCCACCACTGGCCCTCAGCAGCTCCAGCTCCTCCAGCTCCTCCCCAGAGGGGACCTCTGCCAGGGCAGCCAGGTGCCATGCCCCTGCACCTCAGGACACCACTGGGAGCTGCACATCATCTCCGCCAGTGGGGACAGACTCGGGCCACTGGGCATGCCTGCCACACCCACCTGGTAAGCCCCACCCATGCCTCAATTCCCCACATGGCCTGGCCATGTTCTTCATGGCTCCTAGAGTCCACCCCATAGCATGTAGAGAGGTGGGAGACAGTGCAAAACTTTACTGAGCAGCCTGTGTCTCTTCAGCTAGGCAGGCACAGGCCGCTCACGTGCGGAGGAATGTATCAATGCCGGTGGCAATGTCGTCCTCTGTTGTAGGGGCACAGGCGTGTAGCACAGCCAAAGATAGCCCTCCAGGTAGTGTCAGACATTGCGAGGCAGTATAGGGTTGCCTGCCACAGCAAAGCTCAGGGTCCTGCACCAGGTTCTCAGGTGTACCTGGGGCACTATGGTGATCAGCAGCAGCAGGGTGTAGTGGGGTGGGCACCCCTCAGTCTGTGCAAACAGGTCCTTGCAGCACACCTGGGACACTCTCAGCAGAAACATGCTTGGGGAGCTGGCCTTGGGGCTCCTTTCCAGAGATGCCCCCTGGGGGGAGGGCAGGGGCACCACCAGCTCTGCATCTCAGTCAGCTGGGCCCTGTGAGCTTGGTCGCAGTACAGGAGATAGGCTGGCCTGCAGGAGGAGAAGGGGGAGCAGTGGGGGGTGGGTGGAGGGAGTAGGTCTGGAGCTGTCAGGAGCCAGGCCTGTCCCAGTCTGGGAAGAGGGTGGGGAAGGCAGGCTGCCTGCAGTCAACCTAGCAGCCCACCAGCCCCTGCGGAGTGAGTGGGGATGGGGGAGCTCAGCTGGTGGTCGCCTGTGTCAGGGCCTGCCCGGCCGACTTAACATGGTCTGTGGGCACCCATGCACACATGACCCCTGGTTTGAGGCTGGGCAGCCCACAACCCCCTGGTGTAGAGCATGTTATCTCAAAAATGTTGCAGACTCTCACAAACATCCACTTTCTCCTGGCTCTGTAGGTCCTTGCTGACAGCACCAGCCTCAGTTGGGGCCCTGAGTATGCGCCGGCTCTGGCAGTAGAGGACCCAGGACTGGACCCAACTGATGGACCAGCTGGTCAGGGTAGCTAAGGAGCGGCCGGTAGACCTGTGGGCCTGGCACGCAGAGGATGTCACTCGCAAGTGCGAGATAGACGCATACAAAGAGAAGAGGCTCGCATGCAAGGAGGAACGTGCCTAGCAGAGGGACCGTGTGGACCAAGAGTTCCAGGACAGGCTCCTGGCCCTTGAGGAGAGGCAGCTGGAGGCCCAGGAGAGGCAGGCTGCCATGATGCCCAGTGCAGGCCACGGAGATGGACCACAGGGTGCTGGACATCATCCTGTCCCTGATGGTTGCCTTCTTCTGGCAGCCTAAGGCGCATTCCACCAGTATGAGGGTCTGGCTCAGGCAGGTGTTGAAGTGTACCTGGCAGGCATCCAGCTGGCCAGCGTGGGCCACATGAGCCAGCAGAGTAGCAGGTAGACAGGGTCCCAATGAGGAGGGGACCACCACCACAGTTAGCTGGAAGTCTAGCACCCCTCACACAAAGCTTCTGCTCTCCGCCAGGGCTGGCAGGGCAGAGTTGCATAAAATGTGGGCATCATGGGTGCTGCCTGCCCAGCTGGTGCTCAATTTGGTGAAAGCCCAGGGTGCGGAACCCTGCCATCACCTCCAGTGGATCATGCACCCAGAGCATGGTGTGCCCCAGCACATTCTGGAGGGCATAGTGCACCTCCAGGACCCTGGCACTCACCTTGCCCACATTAAAGAGGTGGCTGATGTAGCAGAGGCTGGCAAGCATAGCCAGCTTGAGCAGGGTGATGGCCAGCCTGGTGTCCACAGGGAGGGGCTGCCACATGGTGGTGTCCTGCCTCTGTAGGTGCAGGCGAAGCTGCTCAAGGAGCTCCTGAAAGATGGCCTGGATCATCTGGGATGACTCCAGCCACTGCTTGTCATCCTAGGTGCTCTGGATGACATGCAGGGCACCAGTCCTAGCTGGCCATGCAGGCCCACAGGCAGCAGGGGCTGGAGCCCCAGGAGGATGTTGATGGCACCAGTATTGGCATCTGGATATGTGTCTTCAGCGTCTTTGCTGGATTTCAGGTGGCAGCACAGGGTCTAGGTGGCAGCAGCGCAGTGCCAGGGGGCCTGAGATGCTGCAATGAGCCTGGCTAGGCATCTGTGCCACATACGGGTGCCACCAGGGCCAATACTGACCTGGGCCAGGCGATGGTCACTGTGGTGGTGAAGCAGGGCAACTAGGGTGGCAACTAGGTGCCCAGAGCACTGGATGTTGTTCCTGGGGCCTGCTGGTTGAGCATCCATCATGCAGTAGGCACAGGCTCCGAAGACAGAACCGTAGAATGCTGGCACAGTGCTCTACAGGCTGCTCTGGGCCGGGAAGGCAGGTGGCCAGGGAGCAGCAGGCAGGGCTGGCTTTTAAAGATGGCCCCCAGTTGCAGGCAGCTGCAGCTGGAGCCTCCAGCTCCCCCTGGCTGCTGCAGGAGGCTAGTGCATGGTTGGATGGGGCAAGAGCAGACTACTGCCAGGAGCAGCAAATCTGCTCCCAAATGCTTGGATGTGTAGATGCTTGCCCAGGGTGAGTTTTCTCCTGAGTGAATTACTCCAGAGTAAACCCATCCAGCAGCATTGGCATGTGTAGATGCTCCCAGTGTCCGTCTGTAGAGCTCTTGATTGTCATCCTGAAGGTATGGAAGACAAGCACCTGGCACTTCCCTGTCCCACAGGCTTCCTGTAGCCACCTCCTAATTTTAATAATGTGCACTCTTTGCCAAGTCTATGCTTGTGGGAGATTAGAGCAGCAATAGAGGTTAGGCTTATTGGTTAAGGAGGTGATAGCATCTGTTCCTAAATCTTTGCCATGCATACTTCGAGAAGTCATTAATAGTTCTCATTTCCAACATTCTGCTCCTCCTCAGATTGCTTGGAGACAACCAGCATAAGCTGTTCACCAATAATGGAATAGCCACTAGAAATACAATGAATATACTAACTAAGAGCTGAGCAGTTCCTGGAGATGCTGGACACAGACTTGTCCCTTAACATCCCCTCCAGCAGCAGGTATCCACTTTGGTGAAAAAACATTTATAAACCTACACATTTCTATTTTATCAAAATTGCAGCAATTACAAGTGTTACAGTATTTGAGAACAATGAAATCATTTCACTGAGAGTTAAGAAAATAAACCCCAGGCCTAATATTCCAATAAATAGCTTGTGAAAGGTGAGACTAGGGGTGGAATTATATTACTCTTTGTACACCCAAATGACAGTTTGCAACCACACTGGTAGTGTTTTTAGCACTTAAGTACAGTTTTTGATTCTATTACTCCTGCAGTGTGGATGCTTAGTTAGTTATGCATTGGCTGGGCAGGTATGCATCTACATATATGCATTCACTGGTATAAGTCCCAGAAAAGATGAGAAGGAGGGCCCTCCCATGTTCCTGAAGGGAGAAAGACAGAGCTTCTAGGACCTGTGTGCCTAGCAGGGGTTTGAACCTACAGATCTCTGATTTCTTAGCATGTTCAAACAACCCCACTACAGATTAAGCATTTCTCTTACTTTTCTCCAGTGCTTCTTTTGAAGTTGAGCCACTGCTCCTCGCATTTACCAGTCATTGGATAAAATGGATAGAGAGCAGTGTAGCAGCAGAGTGGTTTCTGCCATATTAGGGGTAAGGGCTCAGACTTACCCCTAATATGGCCATAAAATTACCCATTTTAAAGCAGGTTCCACCTCACCTCTGCTTATTATCTTCTTCCTGACCACACATAGCTCTGTCTTTGGACTACCCAGATGCCATCTTCAAAAGGAGCACTGGAAATGAATTTGGATAATGTCTGCCTTTGGCCTCATGGTTCTTTAGAAGTTGGGGAAATGGAGATTCAAACCCGAGTGAGGGTTTGAACAGGGTTTCCCTGTAACTGTTGTCTCCCACTTCATGAGTAAGTGTCCTAACCACCTAGCTATTAGGGGCTAAAGCAGGAGAGCCCCCCTCCTCCATGTAACACCTGTTACTCATGGTTTTTGTTCAGCTACATTTTTGTGGCTGCTGCATACATGATGGGGTCAGGAATGGACATGGGCAGTATGTAGCCTACTGCACACTCTCAGTCTATGTGCACATGCTTATGTGCTGACACTGCAAGAGTAACAGAATCACAAACTGTGGATAAGTGCCGAAAATGTTAGTTAGGTGGCTGGAGAATGTCCATGTATTCACACGAAGGGAAACAGAATTCCACTCCAGTGTCCCTTCTCTATCACCAAACATGAAATATTGAGACTTAAGGGCCAAATTGTGAAGCTAGTAAGAGTACTTGTGCAAACATCAGATTGTTAATGGGAGTAAGTTTGTCCTGTTCACGCAAGCAAAGATTCTATTAATTCTGTTTTGACCAAGGGATAAATTCTAAATGTCTCCATCCAATCCAATCACATGCAGCTATTTCCGTATCTTCTATAAAAGCAGATAGGGCTAGATTTTGTCATAGTAGATAAAGTATGGAACCTGCTGAAAAGTGAAAAGAAGACAACATTTTGGGTAAAGGACTCTTGAGCAGGAAATTATTTCTATAGAAATACAGAAAAAAATCTGTACAATCCCTAATGTGCATAGCAGGGAGGCATAAACTTGGTTTTTACAATCTTTGATTTAGATACTGAGGTCAGATGAACATTCATTGCTGTTCTGTTATGTGGGCTGTCTTGGTAAGTTTTTACATGAAAGTAGAGTTAATCATTGTTATGCTTGCTGACAGCAAGTAAGCAAATATTTCAATAGAACACAGGGTGTAATAAATACAGTTAATGGATTTGTGAAAGCAGAACTACACTTTATGATGCTTTGGACTTTGGTACCAGGGAAAATTAACTCTGATGGTCAAGCTCCAACTAGCCAGGCTTAAATTCAGCTCTGTTTCCAAAATGCTGATATAGCCATTAAAAAATCCTTCTTCCAAATGCATTTCTAAAAGCTGTCGTCTTTGAAATAAATTCTATATTTGTTCTTTGTTGTAGAAACTCATCAGCAGCCATGACGACAGGGGTATTTTAATGCAAAGGGTCAAAATGCAACCTTATGTGAAAGGATGCTATTGTATTGAAGCCAAAGGTATGGTCCCTGTTTACACCAGTGGTGCCCAACCTTTTCAACCCACAGCCTGGATGAAAGGTACTAGGTTGGTCCGTGGGCCAGATCTGGTCCATGGTATGCCAATCTAAGCTTGAGCAGCTGCTCCTGGGCCTGGTGTTCTTTGCTTGGGCTTTAGCTTTCCCAGCACTATCGTCCGCCAGGCACCGTTTCCGAAGGGAAGCCCCTGTTGCTTTCCTGCCACGTCTTGTTCTTATGGGTAGATGTGAGAGGCTCCCGTTTGACCTGGACTCACTTTGAGGCGCTCCATATGGATATCCCTTGGGGCTCTGCCTCTCCCTACACCCCTTCCATGCACCAGCCTGATGATCTCTAGCCACATAGTCAATGATCTGGGCTCTTCCATGTTCTGGTGTGTCACATCATCCCAATTGGGCTATCTGGGGGTTCCAGCTGGGTTGGTTTGCTTGTGCAGTGGCCATGGGTTCGCTGGTGAATGGCCAGTTACTCTCTATCATGCTTGGCCTACACAACTCAAAGACTCTTGGGAAATGGTCTCGCTCCCTGAGACCATTTCCCTTGGTTGGACAGGCCTGCTGGCCCTGCCACAATACAGTCTTCTACTCCCAGAGTCCCCAAAAGCTTCTGGCCTCTCGGCTCTGGCAAGGCATCAAAGGAATATGGACTCTCTCCCAGGCCCCAGGAGTAATCAACAACCACAAAAAAAAAGCGAAAGCAGGTAGGCAGTGGCTTGCCTTGCATTCATGCATCCCTGATGTGTGCTGGGCCCTCGAATCCTTGGCCCCCCTCTTTCCGTCAGCCTCTGGCCTTACAGAGCCTAACATGGTGCCTCTAAAGGCCTGGGAGGGAGGGAGGAGGGCATTGTTGTATGAGGCCTGTGAGGCCTCCCTGCAGCCCCTCATCTCCCAGGATCTTGCTGGGGCCAGGCCTGGCGGCAGCTTCTTTCCCCTTCTCAAATGATTCCTGCCAGCACCAGGCCCACCTCCCCATGCATTGACATGGGCAGCACTGCACTTCCCTGCTTCTGCCCAGGGGCACCACCTCTTTACGGCCCAAGTCCAGCTCCTTTGGGTTCACTCTACATCCAGGGCCTGCAAAGGATCTAAATCGGATTCAGCTCCTTTGGATTCTTCACTGGGCCTTGGTGCACGATGAGGAGTGAATTTGAAGGATGTGAGTGCAAATGAACCGAATCAAATTTGGATCCTTCCTGGTACCTTGATGCAGGACAGGGACCGGATCCGAATTGAATTCAGTTTATTTGCATTCAGTTCATTCTGATTTGCATCAAAGTCCCAGGAAGGACCCAAATCAGTTTAGTCTCATTCAGGTCCTTTCCGGGAACTCGATATGTGATGAGGAGCAAATATGAAGGAGCTGAATCTGAATGAACAGAATCCGATTCCCATCCTTCACGGGACCTTGATGTGGGACGAGGAGTGGATTCAGTTCATTCATATTCGTTCTGCCTCCCACATCAAAGCCCTGGTCTGAACAGCAATTCAGAGACAAGCTGCCAATCTTATTGGCGTTTCAGGTCACCAGCACCTCCTCTTTCTCCTCTAGGCAGTTTAATGATCTCCTTTTTAGTTCAGGCATAGCTCCAAGATGATAAAACAATAGGCTTTCTATTCAAACCTAGGCCTGGGGAAGATCCACAAGAAAGAATTCATTCGCGTAGGCCTGATCTGTGCATAGGATGGGAAAGGGAGCAAAGACAGCATGATAAACAACAGTAGTAAAGGCAGAGTCAGAAGTTTTGTCCACCCTGCCATGACTTAGAGCACTCATTGTTGGAGTCTGTCACACAATTTTTACCTTGCCCTTCTATGCATTATACTGCTCATGTATACTGATAAGTGGTTAATAAGCTACCAGGTTAATTAGCTAGTTAGCATGAGTATGCTTGGAATATATCTGTACACTTACACAGGTTTTATTTCAGTGTACAACAAATTACATTTGCAGAATTTTGTTACAGTAGATTATTTTCCACTTTTGACAAAATGGTTTTTGTGGAGCTGATCATGATCCTTGTATATAAGCGTTCAAATGTGGATGCTGGCACAGGTTTGTATCAGGAAATGAATGCACATTTGTATACTCATGGAGTCTAGACAGAGGTTCAGCTGAAAATGTAAATGCCTTTTCTACTAAATTTTTGGAGCAGAGAGAATATTTAAGGATGTTAACATTTGAAAAAAATTACAGTAGATGTTTTCATATCTATACATTCAGAATATATGGTCTCATTTACCCAGCATATATAAAGGCCAATCTTTAGATGTGGCCAAAGCAAAGAGTTCACTGAAGTAAGAACAGCAAAAGATAAAATCATGAGGATTAATTAATTACATCAGGCAGATCTCCATATCATGTAAGGAGGGGACCACAAGCAATTAGGCGCTGTGAGAAAGCAAGTGAGGAGGAAAACGTTTCTGTAAGTTCTACCTGGTATGTCAGAAAGAGATTGGAGAGCCAAACAACAGATGCTGTAGATGAAAACATGGAGACAAGGCCAGCAATCTCTAATCAGAGCTTTGTTGTTCTTGCATTTGAGATGAAAATACCATGGACTGGGCAAAAAAGGGCCATATTTACATCCTATGGATGTCAACCATTTTAAAAGAGAGAATCTCATATGTAAAACTTGCAGAAGAGACATCCTAGCCCTATGCATCAAGGAAACATGGTTATCACATCCTGAAGTTATGTAGCCTTGCTAATATTGGAGGCAAATGCTGTCTGTATTCCAGTAATCACATTTTTACCTTTCACTGCCTATAGGATGACAAATGGAAAACTCCACTATAATTTCACGAATCTGGATAATTTTATGGATCTTCTGTGGACAAACAAACTTGTTCCTGGTAAGGTGCTTTTATCCATCAACTATTAATGTTGGACCAAACTGTGCAATCAGACAGAACTGTAAGTGAATTTTACCAAAGGTGATTTTGAAACCAAATGCGTTTTCTTTTACTGATATTTAACTCCTATTAGCTTAAATACAAAATCTGTGCAGCAAATGTTGAGAAAGTAACAAGTGAAAAACCTTCTATTTTACTTATTAAGTGCTTTGGCATTAAACTGAGATTTATGAACTGGAAGATGAAATCAACCCATGTTTACCAAGAAACACCCAAGAAGGGAGGACAAATTCCCAGATGGATTTTGCTGGCACTTACCTGAACACAATAGCACTTGCATCCAATGCCTCCAAGTCACTCTCCAGCTCATAAACCAGGGGTGGGCAAAATGCGGTCTGGGGGCCAGATGCGGCCCTCCAGGTCCTTTTATGTGGCCTGTGGGGCCCCTAAAAAATTTAGAAAATGAATATTAATCTGCCCTGGGCTGCCCATCATGCGGCCCTCGATGGCTTGCCAAAACTCAGCAGCCCTCTGCCCAAAATAATTGCCCACCCCCGTCATAAACTGAGTTGGTTACTCCTAATATTGTGAATTTCATTGACAAGTAATAACTTTGAGTAATCTCAAATTGGCATCAGGAACGTAAGCTTAATTTATGTAACTCAGTCTGTGTGTTTCATGAAGGTCACTATCAGATAAATGTTGGAAAATAAATTCAGTTAATAAAAAAATGGAGAATAAGACCTTTTTGTACTTGTTTAAGGATTTGAACTGATGGGAAGCCCCTCAGGATACTTCACAGATTTTGAAGATAAAAAACAGGTGGTAAGATGGAAGAACCTAGTTGCACTTTTGGCTAAGAGATATATAGGTAAGTTACTTTAAAAAAAATCCTATTTTTCTTGCTATAATGAGTCCTGTCTTCCTGCTTCCAAAGTTTTGTGATGTGTGCTCGATTTAAGGCTGCATTGTAGCAATTGGAGAAATGGAAGGGGTTTGAGCAACATTAGTTCACAGACCTGGTCCTGGAAGAAGATTCATAGAAGGATGGACAATTTATACAGCCTAAAGTGGCTCATGGAACATTGTAGCACCAAACATTTTTTGTAGGAAAATACCATTTTTTTTTTAAATTGAAATGTTAATGGGAAGGAGCAGTACTGGTTGACAGAAGAAGACTAACAAAATACCCAAAGAATGAGAGAAAGATAAGCTATGTACTAGACAGAGACTCATATTCATCCCTTTGAGTCAGGCATCATTCTATCCCTGAAATCATTGGGAACTGTGCAGAAGCCTCCAAGGGGTAGATCCATTACATTTGGAAGATGACAGGCTGGTTGAGCGAAGGGCTGTGCAGATCTTTCTTTTCCTGGTTTGGCAGTCAAACAAGGAAAAAAATGTTTCTGATTGAAATGAAGTAAACTGAGGGGAACATGGAGAAGGGATCTTAGTGAAACATGCAATCCCCAAATTCTGTGCGTGTCAAATTAAACATTTCATTCAATCCAAACCAACTTTTTAATGTACTTGAAAACAAGCAAAACAAATGAAGGAGTAGATTAATCTCATGGTCATGGCTGTAGTCTTAATACCCAGGGATTCTCAGGGTGCATTTACATGTGCACTTTAATGTGCAGTAGACTATATTATTGCACATTAAAGAGTCACATAAAAAACATGACATTATGTTAATGTTCAGTAAGGTAGTCTATTACACAAAGCTTCACTAAAAAAGTTACTGCACATTAGTGCAGCTTAATGCACATTAATTTAGTACCTCATATTGGAGGTACTAAATTTAAAGCGCATTAGAAAAGGTGCATGTGTAGACACATCCTCAGTCTATCTGCCGCCCACAATCTGTCACAGTGATGGTGTCCCACTTTGCATAAATGATTAAACCTCCATTAGAGCAGGGAGTAGAAACCAGGTGTTCCAGCACCTAGGTTCATGTTCTGACCTAATCACCAAATACAGTCACAAGCTCTTTCTCTGGATCAGCAAATATTTAAGTAATCCATGTTCCAAGCAAAGTGATCTCCAACAGAAGAGATTGAAGGAGATCTACCTCAGAACAGGCTATAGTGGGTGCATCTACATGAGATGCTACTGCACAGTGGTTACTGTGCATTTATTTAGTGCTTGTATAATCAAGTAATAAATGAGCAGTAACCAGGGTTACTGTGCAGTAGTGCCAGCAAACGTCTTTTTAATGACACTGTTACTCAGCCTAATAATACTGCGCAGTAGCGTATTAGCATTGTTAGTGCTGTGATGCACTACTATGCAATATTATTCAGCTACTGTACAGTCAGTGTCTTGTGTAGACATGCTCAGGGATGACTAGAATGCTCCCTGAAAAGTGGGTTCAAGTCTTTGCAAACAGGATGCATCTACACAAGATGTTTACTGTGGAGTTGCTTAATTAGCTGTGCAGAAATGTCTCAGAATCTACACATGCAGCCCAATTAGGCTGCAAGAAACTAATAATCTCCACAGCAGGTTAGTACTTCTAAATATGAGTACTATCCTGCTGTAGAATTTTTTCATGCCCAGCAGCATGTGTGTAGATGCTGACCTGGCTGGCTCAGGCATGAGGGTGCTTCAATGTGGGGGGCAGCCTGCTGGCTAGCCCCACACTGAAGCACCCTAATGCCTTAGCCAGCCCCTCCATAGCACATTGAGCTGGGCTGGAGCAGCCCTGAACTTTCAGGCTGGCCCCCTTATTCCCTGCCAGTTGGGGCTGCTCTGACCTAGCTCAGTGTGCTGTGGTCCTGGGTGCATGTGTAAATGCGGTGCCTAGGAGTAAAAAACTGTCACGATATGAGCCAGAGTTTATTGCTAAGCACTGATATGCATATGGAGATATGCCCACAGAGTAGGAATTTGAACCAATGTCTCCCTCCTTCAGTTCTGTGAACCCAGCCCTGACATGCTCTCTTCCAACCAAAACTATTAGCAGACTCAACCCAAACATACAAATAGCTTCAGCATGACCCAAACTATGCAAAAAGTTCAGTATAGCTTTTTAAGTAGATTTTCTATTGGCCAAAAACTGTACCCTGATTTAGTGGTCCCCAGTGCTTGGTATATATCTGAATGTATCATACTCATGGAACTTATCTGCAGATGAATCATATTATGCAGTAAGAAACTGCAGTACTTAAAGCTTGTTTTATTTCCAGCAAAATATGGTCTGGAACATGTTGCCAAATGGAATTTTGAAACTTGGAATGAGCCAGATCATCATGACTTTGATAATGTGTCAATGACCGTCAAAGGTAAGTTTGTTTTTTTATTAACTCTTACTGTTTAGTTTATCCATATTGATGATGTGCTGGGAAGAAGCAGAAAAGAAGCAGGGTAGGATGACAAAAAATAGGAACACAATAAAAATGTATATATACTGTTTTATAAAGGTTTGTCCCTGGCTGTGATCCACACACATGATCACTGGCCTGAATCTTGTAAATTTGCAGTTTGGATAGTAACCTGTGTGAAGGAGCAGATATAGCATGCAGAAAAAGGAAAAAGAAATAAGAACAATACAAATTAGATTACACTGGTCACGTCTACATGTGCGTTAAGGCATATTTTCTAATGTGCATTAAATTTAGTACCTCCAACGTGAGGTACTAAATACATGCACATTAGGCTGCCTTAATGGACAGTAACTGATGCAGTGTTCCCTCTAAGGAGTAGCGGTCCATGAGCGCACCACTTCAGTCTGTGAGCGGGACACTTACCAAAGGGGGCCAGAGGCTGGGGCCAGGGCTCTGCCGGCTCCGGGGAAACTGCTCCGTTCCCCTGCTTCGCCTTGGGGAGCAAGGAGTCACAGGCTGGGGAGTGGAGCACTTCCCTGGAGCCGGCGAAACCCATGGCAGCCCCCAGCCCCAGCCTCCATCCCTGCCTTGTCTCACCTGGGGGAGAAGCCGCTGCCTGCCCCGAGTGAGGCTCTTCCGGCTCCCGGAAACTGCTCCATTCCCCGGCCCTGACGCCATGTGCCTCCTCGCTCCCTGAGGTGATGCGGGGGAGAAGAGCAGTTCCCCAGAGCCAGCGGAGCCCATGCCAGGCCCTCGCCCTGCCTTGCCTCGCCTTGGAGCTTACCTTAAGCTCCTCTCCTGGTGCACGGCCTTGCAAAGGCTATGCGTGGCCAGACTTTTAGTTGTGCACTGCCACACACACGTGCACCTTAGAGGGAACCTTGAACTGATGTGCATGTTTTTTAAGTGATGCTTAATGTGCAGTAGCCTATTTTACTGTGCAGTAGTATAATCACACATTTTTTGTGTGACACTTTAATGCACAGTAAAATAGGCTACTGTGCATTAAAGTGCACATGTAGGCATGCCCTCTGTTTGCTGTTTGGTTACAACCTAAAGTTATGCTATGTGGTTTTCTGTTTGATTTGTGTGTGTCCTGGGAGCCTTTTCAGGCAGATGCCTGTTGACGAGTTTCTTTTTCTGGAGACTTCATAAATCTGAAGCTTTGGACCTGTAGTTTCCTGTTGTGATCTTCATGGAGGAAGAAGAGGGAGAGAGGCAGTTTCAAAAACACCTTGTGCACTTACTTGAATACATTTGCTAATTATCAGCATAGTAATAAGATTTACAGTATTCTCCACTAGTTTTAATCAAGCCACCACTGTAAGTTGTAGCCATCTACTGCATATGTATCTGCTTTAATTCTAGGGTTTCTCAATTATTATGATGCTTCCTCAGAAGGGTTAAGAGAAGCTAGTTCTCTACTGAAATTTGGAGGGCCAGGAGACTCCTTTCACCCGTTCCCAAAGTCACCCATGTGCTGGAGTCTTTTATATCACTGTTACAATGGAACCAACTTCTTCACAGGAGAGACTGGTGTGAGGTTGGACTACATATCCCTCCACAAGAAGGTCAGCTCAGAAGAGTATTTATTGACAATTTAATCCTGAGGTTTCCTACCCATTCTCTGGTACTGTGGTTTCTAAAGTTGGCTTTTGGAACATTACTCTACCTATACAGGGGAACACAGTCATTGTGATTTTAAGAGGGCCTTTTAAAGATATCCTAATGAAAAACTTAGCCAAAAATTTAAGTGTTTTTATATCTGGTATCCACCTAATAATAACTTTTTGTCCCATTTTTTCACAGATAGAGAGTGGGGCTAGGGGAAATACAGAATTTTGCCATTTGAAACAAAACAGCTCATTCAAACATTTGTGCTTCAGAAGAAAGTATAGAAATATTAAATTTGTCAAAGACACAAGCACTTTGACAAATAGTGGTAACCGTGTCCTTGGATGATCCAGGGACACGGTTACCAACCCAAGAAAAAAATAACGATAATCTGCAAGCCTTTTACTAATAGCCATACTTTTTAACTGACACATGCTTTTACTGGTATGTTTTACATAGTGTAAATTTACCTCTTCTGTTAGGCTCTGCCCTGCTGCCAGTTAGATGGGCCAGGGTCAAATTTAGGGGTTTAATGTCAAACAGACTTAAAAGTAAAAAAAAGTTTGGATGTTAGTAAAAAGTTTTCAGTAAAAAAAATTATTGGGTTGGCAAACCTGGTTGACTGTAACAATGGTTTTACACTGTGCTGCACACCCCCAGGGGTCCTCTACTCACCCCCACAACCTGATAATCCTCCCTGCACCCTGTTGCCCCCCTCACCAGCCTTACCCCTGCCACTTACCATGTCTTTCACTTGTCCTGGTACAGACCCCCAAAGAAACCTAGCTCTGACACAGCAGTATTCCAGGCAGCTTGGGATGCAGCAGCAGCAGCAGCAACATATGGTTGAGAGAATATTTTCTGCAGGAAGCTGTTCTCCCAGTCAAACACCAGGTGGCACTGCTATGCTCTATCAGAGCTGCAGTCAAGCTGCAGCTGCTTAGTATTTTTACTGACACCTAAAGATATTTTTACTGGGCATATCTACATGAGATACTAAAAGCTCAGTAGACTGATTCTACTGTGCATTAATGTGGGAGGCAAAAACCATGGTAATGCGCAGTAGAATTAGTCTACTGTGCATTAGTGTCACAAAAACGTGCACTGGCACCATTGCGCAGTAGCATCAATTACAGCACATTAAGTTAGTACCTGTTATTAGAGGTACTAAATTTAATGCATTGTAATTATAGCACATTAAGGCACGTGTAGATGTGCCCACTGACAGCCGTTTTAACCTGATTTTTTAGTGACAGTGAATGAATTTACTGACAGTTGACAACCCTGGCTAGTGACCTGCTGCATGACACAGGTACTGTCTTTGTTGTTTACTCACTTTGCATGACAGCATATTCCTGTTATTACAGGGAGCTGGGAGTTCGCTTCAGATCTTGCAAGAAGAAACAGAAGTTCTTGAGCAAATTCAGCAGCTCTTCCCAAATTTCACTTCTATTCCCATCTACAATGATGAGGCAGACCCAATGGTGGGATGGTCAGTTCCGCAAACATGGAGAGCTGATGTGACCTATGCTGCCATGGTGGTGAAGGTAACTCACAGCCCAAGTCATTTCTAAGCAAAGCCAATCTTAAGAGGTAGTGGGATCTAAAAAATTTTATAACCTAGGTACAATACATAGGCTGCAGGGAAAATTTATAGACCTAGTCATGAGGCTCTTACTTATATTTCACTCTTTATTCAGGCAAGCCCACTTGGAGGTTAGCAGTCATTCAAGTGACTACATATTAAATAAAAATGTCCTGGATGCATGGGTGACAGCAGCCTATTGCCAACCGGGGGAGGGGTGTCCCCCAGCGCCTGATTGATGACTGAGGGAGAGGAGGGTGTCACCCAGCAGTCTATCACAGCACCAGTGGCAAAACCAGAAGTGCCAGCAGCATTGGGGATGTGACTTCTCTCAGTGCTGCCGGCACCCATCTCGGGGGGGTGGGGGGGGTGGGCACCAGCCGGCACTTTACTTGCTGCCTTTGCTTCCCCCCCCGCGAGGGCCCATC